GGGATATGTTGTTAAGCAGCAGTGTCATTGAACTTGATGACACTTACTTTTGAGTAGTCATGCATTACGACATTGCTGTTGTGCAGAAATACAGGGTGGTACTCAACTATGTTCTACTTAGACTAGACCGAACGGGTTGCATTCCACTAAGTCCTATTCAAAGTAGACTCATTAATGAATCAAAGTTAGTCATGTCTATTAACTTCAGTGGGTGTTCTGAGTAGGACCAGCACTGAATACCACATATTGAAATTAATGGCGCTAACTTAGCCATGGTCATTAATTTCATTGGGTATTCTCTGTGTTAAACTTAGTTGAATGCCACCCACAGAGCGGCATGTTTTTCTGAATGCATCAGCAGGGCTGACACTATTGCAAGTGCCACACAATGTTCGTTCTACATTCGTAAGGAATCAATGTCTTACCTGCCCTCTGGAACTCCCTGCCTTTTGACATCAAACAGCTACCTTCCCTGTACTCCTTTCAACACATGCTAAAAATGCTTTTATTTAGGCAAGCTTATCCAGGCATATATTTTAATCTGTAATTACAGATTACAGGTTGTTTTTAATTATTTTTTGATTCACACACACTTGCATTTTTTGTTTTAATTGTTTTAATGTTGTATTTTAATCTTGTTTTTAAGTCGTATTCATTCAACTCATTTTTATTATTGGTTGTTAACCGCTATGAGCCTGGCCTTGGCTGGGGAGGGCGGGGTATAAATAAAATTTATTATTATTATTATTATTAATTTATTTACTTTGACTTCCAGCAATCATTTTAATGCCTATTTTACGTTTTTTGAAAACCGCTCAGAGGTTTCCTTTACAGTTCTGCACTACTCTGATTTTGTTAGATAAAAATAAATTACTGGTTCTCATTTTTCCACACCCTGAAAAGAAACCACTTTTGGCATATCAGTGGAAAAGAGCCACCAGTTTTAATTCAAAATCTTTTTTTGACCTGCCTGGGTACACCTGCCTTAACTCCATTAACTCTGTGTTAAATGGACAGTTGTTAACAACTACTAGGAGCAGCAACAAAATGTTGCAGTGTGGAGTGTTTCTGCACAGGATGCCACCTACCCAAGCCCTCCTCTAGCATGCACTATTCCATTTACCCTCCCTCCCAGTCCCCCTCCCCATCCAACAGACGGTCAGCATTCTGTGGCTACTTTGCATGTTCAGCTCTTATTCAGGCGTTTCACTTCTTAGTGTATGTCCCAACAAAATAGTTTTTTTGCACTTCTGCAAACCTTGGGGTTTCCCCAAACCTACCAACAACCATGTATAGTGATGTATGGAAGTAAGAGCTGGACCATAAAGAAGGCTGATTGCCGAAGAATTGATGTTTTTGAATTATGGTGCTGGAGGAGACTCTTGAGAGTCCCATGGACTGCAAGAAGATGAAACCTATCCATTCTGAAGGAAATCAGCCCTGAGTGCTCACTGGAAGGACAGATTGTGAAGCTGAGGCTCCAATACTTTGGCCACCTCATGAGAAGAGAAGACTCCCAAGAGAAGACTCCCTGGAAAAGACCCCGATGTTGGGAAAGATGGAGGGCACAAGGAGAAGGGGACGACAGAGGACGAGATGGTTGGACAGTGTTCTCGAAGCTACCAGCATGAGTTTGACCAAACTGCGGGAGGCAGTGGAAGACAGGAGTGCCTGGCGTGCTCTGGTCCATGGGGTCTCGAAGAGTCGGACACAACTAAACGACTAAACAACAACAACAACCAACAACCAACCATCTCCTTGTCTGCAGTGCTATTCCATTGACATATTACCTGCCTGGACCTTTGGATATTGGAAACGGAGGGAATGATTTGCTTAAATCTTTTGCCTGGTCTTCAAAATGTGATGGGTATGAGCTTGCTAGACTGCGCTTTTATAGTGAGTAATTCAACAGGACAGCCTTCCAGAAATAAGTGGTGGAGAGAGAGAGAGAGAGAGAGAGAGAAGATCAAACCTCAATTAGAGCAGGACAAAGTGGAACATGCAAACAAAATATTTGCTTTAAACTGATTGCATTTTTAAATTGCTGTAGCCTGCCCAGGGACCTTGTGTTGAAGGGAGCATAAGCAATCAAATAATTAACGGCAGTATAAAAATAATGCGGCTTGGAGTGTTCTGAAGGAGTCAACTCCATTCCGTTTCCCCTCCCCGGTTTTCCATCCCTCTCTCACCCTTGGAAGTTTGTGGTCACTGAGCATGCTCAGACATCATTGAGCTATTTGTTTTTTTTTAATTACTCCCATAGAATTTTTCACTCTCAATATTGTTTTGTTGTTGTTGGCATCTCTCTGTCTTGGGAAACGATGGCAGATAAACGGTTTGACTTTGGGAGTAAAGTCATACGGTTTGAAGAATTATAGTGCCTGCTGAGTCTTTTGAGATGGATGTGGGAGAGACATGTTTTGTTGCAGCTGGGGCACATAAAGGAATCCGGTTTTGCTGCTATAGGTGCATGATGGTGTTTCTTCTCTCTGATGTTTTGACTTCTGCTAGGCATGGAGGGGCGGGGAGTCCCCTGAGCACCTGCTACTGCCTCCTAATTTCCCGGGAGTTCCCTTTGTGGTGTAGTGGTTAGAGTGTCAGACTAGGACCTGAGAGACCAGGGTTCGGATCCCTACTCTGCCATGAACCTCACTGGGTGACCTTGGGCCAGTCACCATCTCTTGGTCTAACCTACCTCACAGGGTTGTTGTGGAGATGAAATGGGGAAGAGGAGAACCATGTGACCACCTTGAAGCTCCTTGAAGAACCAGGTGGGGTATAAATGCAATACAATGGTACCTCGGGTTACGTACTTAATTCGTTCTGGAGGTCCGTTCTTAACCTGAAACTGTTCTTAACCTGAAGCACCACTTTAGCTAACGGGGCCTCCTGCTGCTGCCGCGCCACCACCACACTATTTCTGTTCTCATCCTGAAGGAAAGTTCTTAACCCGAGGTATTATTTCTGGGTTAGCGGAGTCTGTAACCTGAAGCGTATGTAGCCTGAACTGTATGTAACTTGAGGTACCATTGTAAAAGATAAATACATAGCAATCATAACTCACGACCTGAGTTTGCTATCTTGCTGTGTGTGTTAATGATTGAAGGGTTTAGCATCTCTTCAAAATGTGTGTGGCTGAGACAGCAGCCTTAGATGTGATGAGTTGGGAGCTTGAAAGCTGTTTCAAGATTATAATTCAAGATTATAATTTGGAAGACAATTTGATTTATTTTATTTTTTTTATTGGATTGTGATTTGATATGTTAATTGGATGTTTTTTATTGGTAAATTAATAAACGCCCTAACAAAAAAGAAAGAAAGCTGTTTTATACTGAATCAGACTAAAGGCCTATGTAGCTCTGTTTTGGTGCTACAACTTCCATCATCCCTAGCTAACAGGACCAGTGGTCAGGGATGATGGGAATTGTAGTCCCAAAACAGCTGGAGGGCCAAGTTTGGCCATGCCTGGACACTGGCTGGCAGCAGCTCTCCAGGTTTTCAGGCAGGGAGTCATATCCCAACCCTACCTGGAGATGCCAGGATCTCTCTCACTCGCAAAGCAGATGTTCTGCCACATCTGACCCACATCTGACCCTTTCTTTGAAAGCTTGAGTGTGTGGATTATCTGGTATGTGTGGCAATGATGGGAGAGGACTGGAAGAGGGGGGAGTTGCAAGGCCCCCTCCTTTTCCAAGCAGCAGCAGTGATGGTTTCAAATAGGTTGTAAATTTTTGTCTAAGCAGGGGGCCAAGAAGTCAAATTCCAGAGCTCAGGAGCAAGCAGGGAACTTTGTGGGTATCAAGTGCCCTCTGCTGGCCAGAGGGGAGCTTGCGCAGACTTCTGTGATTCAGTCTAACCGTGCGCAAGGTTAAGCGTGTTTACTCCAAAGTAAGCTCTGCTGGTAACAACAGCAGCGAGAATATTGGCAGCCAGTTATTGGAAAGGAAATAATATCCCAACGAAAAGGGAATGGTTAAGTAAGTTATGTGAGTATCTGGAGTTAGCAAAATTGATGGATTTAATAAGGCACAAATCCAAACTACAGTATAGAAACAATGGGAATGCTTGAATATTTACACCAGCAGGGCTCAGATACGAAAGTTTGGTCGTGCTTAGACTAACCTTGTGAAGAATATAGAGAACACAAAGATTTGATGGACTATGAAAGAACTCAAGGAAATTTCACTAATTATTTCTAAATTGTGAGTTATACGTACAAATTTGTATGTGCAAAATTTATGCAAGTGTTGTCTTTTTAAAATTTATTTTTCTCTCTCTCTCTCTCCCTCTCTCTCTGTTTGTGTGTGTAAGTTGCCTCCCTCACATACAACAGTCTCTGTGCATTAATCGGTTTGCTAATTCCCCTCCTTTGACGGACAGGCTTCTGTTCCAGAATCTCCCGCAAGTGATGCTTTTCCTGCTGGTTGTGATGCTACTGCAGGCGAGCAGCTGCTACTGCGGCCTCCCTTTCTACAATGGTTTCTACTATGACCGGTTCATGAGTGACAAAGGAGAGGCTGACGATGAAGGTAAGAAGTGGGAAGGGGGAAAAACAAAGCAAAACAGCACCTGAAAAGGGAGAACGTGAAGGAACTGGGCTGGGCTGGAAGGCTGTGGCAGACCCAGGCGATGTCAGGACCTGGAATAGCTCAGCTGGTCTGAAATATACTTGGAGTCGAGTGTGGATTTTATGCTCTTTATTCAACTCATAGTGGTGAGGAGGAATGAAAGTTTCCCCAAAGTATCTGCTTTATATACATTATTTACACAATGGGTCGCACGTGATTGGCTAATTCTGGGATTCTCCTGTAGGCCAATCAGGTTGCGGATTCACTTCCACCTGGAGCTGGATTGGGTGGCTCCTGCAGACCAATCATACTGCTGCATTGTTCTAGGACCAATCAGCCTGCTGCATTCTGGACCCTATTGTTCTAGGACCAATCAGACTGCTGCATTCTGAATCCTATTGTTCTAGGACCAATCAGACTGCTGCTTTTTGGATCCAATTCAACTCAGTACATAACATGGTCAAAGCACGAGACTCTTAATCTCAGGGTCATGGCTTTGAGCCCTATATTGGGCAAAAGATTCCTGCGTTCAGGGGGGTTGAATCCCAGCCGCTTCCAACTCTACAATTCTATGATTCTACTCATACTTGTAGAGGCAATGTGTCTCTGATTGCCCGTTGCTGTGAAGGCTCCTTGACATAGACATCTAGTTGGCCACAGTGAGGATGCTGGACTAAGTGGGCTGTTTGACTGACCCAGCAGGAGTGTTCTTACTTTTACAGATGTGGAAAGCAGGCCATGAGAACCTAATCCCAGAGGAGGCTGCTCCATTGGGGCAAATGGGGCCCTGTCCCAGCTGCCTCATTCTGCCCTCAGCCAATGGCCATCTTCCTGCCCTCTTATTTATAACCAGTCCAGGGCATGTCCCTGGCTGTCAGTTTCCCTTTCTTAAGTTTCGGTGTTGCTTTTGTAGCACTCGGCAGGGAGGGCAAAACCAGAATGGGTTGACTCTGCTTGGCATTGCCTCTGGCGCCACCTACTGTTGGCCTCCCTCCCTCCTGCCCTACCAGTCTTAATCGGCACCTTGGATGTTTGGGTTGTGAATGCCGTTGCTCATATGGCATTCTAGTTTAGAATAATAAAAAAGTGGGTAAGGCGAGGGGAGACATGAATTTTACTATCTAATGAGATCATTGATCCATAAAATGAAAGCAATAACCAATGTACTGTACTATAAAGTAAATAAGACAGTATTGTAGATGATAAAAATTAAAATTATTTTTTCTTCTTACCTGCACTGATGGTAGTCATTGTTTGGATGGGGGGCTTTTATCCATTTCTGCAGTCACACAATCAGTAGCTGAACTGGGCTCCACAAAGTCACAAAAACAAATTACAGTCATACCTCGGGTTGAATGTGCTTCGGGATGAGCGCGTTCGAGTTGCGCTCTGCGGCAACCCGGAAGTAATGGAGTGCGTTACTTCTGGGTTTCGCCGCTTGTGCATGCACAGATGCTCAAAATGACGTCACGCGCATGTGCAGAAGCGGCGGAAAGTAATGCGTGCGTGTGCAGACGTGCCATCGCTAGTTACGTTTGCTTCTAGATGTGAACGGGGCTCCGGAACGGATCCCGTTCACATCTAGAGATACCACTGTAATTGAAAACACCTCAAAAACAAAAACGCAAAATAAATAGCAAAATCAAAAGTGCCAAACTTAATCTGTTCCAGAAGTCTGTTTGACTTCCAAAATGTTCGAAAACCAAGGCGCAGCTTCTGATTGGTGCAGGTGCCCCGGAAACAATAGCCGACAGCCGAATCTGACGTTTGGCTTCCAAAAAATGTTTGAAAACTGGAACACTTGACGACTTCCGGCGAGGCAGCATGGCGGCTGCAACAGCAGAAAAGAGCTCCTGAAGCCAGCCAGAGTAAAAGGCTCTGTCTGGCCGACTCCTGGGCTCCCAGGACTGCTGCCGCCAGCACCGCCAGCGGAGA